CCGTCACGGATATCATTGAGTACTCTGTCATCGGGATTGTAGGCTCATCGTCAAAGAAGGCGATTCGTGGGCTAAAGAGTTCCCGGATGACGCTGAGAAAACGTGGTTCTCTGACGAGCTTGGCCGACGCAAGGACATCGAACCACATCGAGGTTTTGATGATAAAGCGGAGGAGTTCCGAGCAGGTAAGAAGGACTCTGCGTGGACCCCAAGGGGCGTTGAGAACAGAGAGAGAATATGTGCAGGCTGCATCGAGGAAGGATTGCCATTGACCATTGTCCCCACTGAAGAGGAAGTAGGAGACAATGCATAAGCCTACTAGGGCGTCCCCTTCAGTCAAGGGACTCTCGGGGGGGACCATTTGAATTCGGCGCAAGGCCTCTACGTCTTCTGGATTAATACTACTGAGTCTGTCTTTTTGGGTGTTCTTGCGATGGAGGTCGGAGAGGAGACAAACAGCCTGGCGAGCGTTGCCAACTGAATGAATTAGGTTCCAAATGATGGAGTCGAGAGATTCGTTTGCGTGAAGATATTTGTCACGAAGAAGATGTTTCAGGCGATCGTCCAATGGAAACCATGGGTATTGATCGACGACGGGGAACAAGTATGCGGAGGAGACGGCATCAATGTCTTCGTCTTCGCGGCTTGGCCCTGCAAAAGGGAATTGAGCACCATGATACATGCAAATACTTAGCAACGGAGATCTTACATGAATCTAAGCCATTGTTAACAGGAGGCGAAGAGTACGAGACACCAGGAAGGAGGACTTCACTTCGGTCCAGAGGCGAGTCGGGGCTCAACTCGTGTATGACGGGTAAACCTGACGAGGGGTTAGGTGGGAGAGGTGAGTAGCACATGGGTGGGTCCTTACGATCATTATCGGGGTAACGGTCTGTGCGGAGTGGGTATGAGGAGGGACACTCATCGTTGGTGGAGGATATGGAGAGAGTGGATGACCGTGGGTCTAAGACCAGTATTTGTGGTTCTTGTTCAGCCGTGCGGGACGCAGTGCCAGAGTCGTCGCCCTTGATCATGCCCTGGGAGGCGAGAAAAATCTTGATTTTTTCTCGCAGATCGAGAATATTGCGATTCTCCTGAGAGACGTGAGATGGAAAGCGAGAGGAGATGAGAGGGCATTACCCGCAGCCACTCTGGATGCTTGGCACCGAACCCGAGGCATTGGAGACGGAGGCGCACGCAGGTAGAGCAGCTGCCCTCGGCATTGATCTGTTCATCGCATTTCTGGGGGGGAGTCAGGAGGGGGTGGGGGGGAGAACGGAGAGGGGACCTTGCGACGGATTCTGCAGGTGTAGCAGCCGGACTTGGCGCGTACAACGCCTTTTGATTTGGGCGCTCCAGGTCTTCTTGGCTGGGGAGACTTAACCAACGGCGTTTGATCGGGAGGTGGTGGCGAGTGGACTGGAGGCGGCGCAGGAATAGAGGGCGGTGTGACGGTGTAGGCAGAGTACTGTGGGAGTTCCTTGCCCTTGACAGTTGGGCGGGATCGCTTTGTCTGTCGACGAGGCTGGCGTGGATCGTCGTCGATGTGTTCGTGGTGCGCCTCATCTTTGCGCTTGCGAGTCGGCGAGCCGAGATACCGAGAGGTGATGAGGGGATCGATGTTGTGGTCCGAAGCAGAAATACTGGAATGGGGCAAGACGCGAAAGATATCAACAAGAGGCAGAGGAGGTGGGAACGAGTGTAGGAATTGTTGAAGAGAAGACACAGCAACTTCAGCACAAGGTCTGTCACCCACCGATGACCAACAACGCTCGATGAGCTCCCAGTGTTGGTCTTCGATTGGAGGAGACGAAGGCCTTTTAGGCGTGTTGCCCCGTGATAGTTGCATCATGACTGCAGCATCACGTTGAATCTCTGACCATGGGTGCTTCCCAGACAATATCTGAAAAGAGATAAGAATATATAGGTGGTACGTGATACTGTACTTACCAGGAGCCCTAGATTTCCGAAAGAATATATGTCACTTTGAGTTGTAGGTTGCATCGTCTGCTCCTCATCAACTAAAAAATGCTCCGGCGCAGCCCATCGTAGGGTGCCAGGCTTCATTGTGGTCATCTGAAGGTATACAGAAGCCTCGGGCAGGTCCCCGATCATGGATGCATAACCAAAATCGGTTAAGCGTGCAATGTAGTTGTGGTCAAGGAGAACGTTATTCTGTTTCAGCTTCAGCCTCAAACAAATTTCTACACGATTCCTATTCACTTACACATGAAAGATCGCCATGAATAATTGGAGTTGGAAATGAGTGCACTGCGTTCATGAGTGGAGGTTCCGTACGGTTGAATACCCATCACATACAATAGCAGAGGCCATTTGCGATGTTCAATAACTACGCGATTTTGGGGTAGTTATTAGATTGTATTTGCATAGTTCGCTGCGTTCACGTACCAACTGGAGCCGGTGAGCAATAGTCAACTGGCCATCATGTTCCCCTAAAAAACTTTGAAGCGACCCGTTGGCCATCCACACGGACACAAGAGATGCGTGTTCTTGTCTCCCAAATCCATACGCAATTCCTAGGAAGGGAACGATATTCGGGTGTTCCAATCTTCTCCAGATTCCGAGTTCTCGTCGTATCATCTAGAGACAAATCGTGGCCAGTCATGTGGTTGTTAGGTTAATCAGCGCTGTAGATACCTTCCGGACCCTACTCTCATGGCTGTCTTTTTCAGTTTCACCCAATGTGAACAGAAAGCGAAACGATTTCACCGCGACCTGAACCATGGTGAGGTTGTGGCACGTCGTAGATAGATGACCAGGTCCAAACCTCCACTACTCCAGCACCGCTGTCGTATTGGCGCTTATAGACATCACTGAACCCCCCTGCTTTACAGTATTGTTCGTCTGACTTGATAATCTTGTCAGAAAGGTTTGGAAGTGTTGCAAGTGCGTCGCTCAGGCTCCGACCTGTAGGACATTGACAATTAGTGCCCGCCTTCTGGCGTTGAGCGGCGAACATTGAACGGAAGTGCCCCTTACATCTCGACATATCTTGAAGCCAGTTAGATCTGTAGTCACAACTACTGAGGAAAATAGCGATTGAAAGGATTTAAGCACAGGAGAGGGCTAGTAGAGCACGAGGAGGTTGGCAAGACGGGAAAAGCACTGGCAACCCGAACATGGTTTCCACGTGTCGGCCGCACAGCAAACTGATGATGATGATCGATAATGATAATTATTCTTTCCCGTGGCGTTCGTGATGAGTCCAACAAGGACGCTAACAAAGTATTCGTGTAGAGACCCTAGGCCTGGACGTGGTGGTACATATCATGATGCTTTGTTTCGTGACTCGTCGCACTGTCGGTGTCCCTAAAGTTGTTCACAGCCACATGTTGAGTACAAACAAACAAACTGCGAATTCCAGGCTCGACCACAATCAACGCAATGGGGTACTACACGACATACTACACCATTGGTCTTCCTTCATTCTTGGTCATAGTTATCGCTCTTTACCTCTTATTCACAGGTTCGTTCCTTTCCAGCTAGAACTGTAATGCTATCACTGACTCGATTGCCGTCGCAGGCTCAGGCGAAGCATTCAATGTTGGTCGCTTTCTTGAAGAAACGAGTCCCTTTGTCTGGGGCTCTCTTGGAATCGGCCTTTGCATTGGTCTAAGTGTTCTCGGAGCTGGATGGTACGTCACTTGTGGTCCTGGACAAACACTTTTACTCCACGCTACCGTCCCTCCTGATGCTCATCGTTTCTTGCAGGGGTATTTTTCTGACTGGATCTTCGATCCTCGGTGGAGGTGTCCGAACGCCACGAATTAGTACCAAGAACTTGATTAGGTGCGTCCATACCATGCGTGCCGACTCTGCTCTATATTCTCACCTACACATCGCATCCGTATCCATCTAGCATCATTTTTTGCGAAGTCGTGGCCATCTACGGGGTGGTATGTCAACCAAGTCCGTGGTCCCTTGATGACTTTTTCAAGTGTGATACACAGATCCTCGGCATCGTCTATTCTGCAAAACTACAAGCCGTACCCGAGGCAGCGCTCTACACCCGCCAGAATTACTACACTGGTAGGCCCATGCTCGCCTCCTCTCCCAGCCCCGGTGACCTCCATGCTGACGTTGCGTATCCTTTTTAGGTTTTGCCCTCTTTTTTGGTGGTCTCACGGTCGGCATGTGTAACCTCATTTGTGGTCTCTGTGTCGGCATCGCAGGTAGCACAGCAGCCCTCGCGGACGCCGCTGACCCCACACTGTTTGTCAAAGTCCTCGTTGTGGAGGTGTTTGGAAGTGTCTTAGGCTTGTTTGGCTTGATTGGTGAGTTTTGCTCGTGCCGTTGGCTTGGTGCCATCCCTGGTCAGAGTACTGATGCAGTTCCGGGCGTGGACAGTGGGATTGTTGATGACGTCGAACGCGCAAGAGTTTACGGCAGGTACGCCCGTGTGGAGTATGGCTGCCAACGCAGCCGGTTCTCGTGCCGTGTACTAGGATGTATGCTAGTACACTTAGTCTTGATGAAGAGCCGTACTATGCTTTTTTCAGAACGATGTGCAAACGAATCGAGTGGGCAAGCTTAGATCCAAAGTCTCTCACCCTGGCGGTATAAAAAACAACGATCCTATTGCTGACCTCGACACCCACACTCTCGTCCTCGCTCGATTTCGGGGAGAGGCAACTTGGTTCTGTTACCCGGACATGGGTGTCCAACTAGCGACCACTGGCGATGAGGCATTCATGTGAGAGCCTCGGAGCACGTGAAAGTACGTTCACATTGGTGGCGATAGGCTCTCCCGCTTGGTCTTCTCGATGTGTAGGGCTGGAAATATCTGGTCGACGAGGGGACGAGTTCGCCAACTACACCCGGCCCAAAGCTAAAGCTCAGGTCATCCCGTGTCACCAACCACGAGTACCATGATCGTTGCGTGTGATGTGGTACGTCGGAACGAAATCCATCGTTGGGGAATACTAAGAAAAACGGAATGCATCGCCGTCGATGACTGGAATGCGCACTCTCAAAAATTTTGGATGCGCAGGGGATTGAACCCTGGACCTTATACAAATTCGCTCAATTGCTTGAGCAGCTGCAAAGCATACGCGCTACCACTGCGCTACGCACCCACGTCAGCGCATGGGGTCTTTTGCTACACGGTGCGTTGTATCCTCATATGGACCTCCTGTGAGAAAAAGGGCGATCTGGAAACCAATGATTGATCGTCGCTCGCTGAACTTGGCAGGCCGAAGAGGCTGAACGATCCTTTGCAACTTGGAGTGAAATGCATCATGCAGTGATCAATCAGGCTGACCGAACCACGCCTCGAGCCTCGCCAACCTAAACAAAGATTTCCTAGGAGGGCGAGTTACGGATCGATCATCCAAAGACGGGACTCGGAGATCGTAAAAAGGGAGTGTGACATCGCAAGATGGAGTCTTACCGTGATCGTCGACATTGTCTAGCGTTGCTGGCCCTGGAGGCCGCTCAGTCCTAATCCCCCTTGCAGGAACATTCATCGGAGCTTCGAGCATCGTGGGTACACATAATGCCTATCTGTTTAAACCGAGACTAATTTAGACCATGCGCTCAGCGGGTTGCACCATCGGAGATTCCAGACAGACCGGTGGGTTATGAGATCCCTCTGATCATTGCGTATAAGTTACGACTTCATCAGTGCTGTGCAGAACACCGGTGAAGTCATCGCCAAGGACGAATTTTCCTTGGTCTTTGTACAACACTTGTGCCTGCCAGTGGAACCAACGCTGGCACACCGATCATAATGTACTTTCGCAATTGCAATTGGATTGATTACAAACGGATCGGGTGGTTAAATACCCACAACATACAGCAGCTTACACACGGGTAGGGTGGTTGAACACCAACAACAGAAAACGTACAAACATCATTTAGCAGTACAACACTCAGGTGGCACGATCACGGATTCACTCAGCTAACACACTCGAGGACGATGCTACAAACGGAAGACGGTGTGGTTAGTCAATAAATATCTCTCGAAAGCGATGCAAACCGTACTCATTCCGTTACTCTGGTTGCCCTACTGCGCAAGCTTATCGTCCGGGGTGAACTCGTAGTTGCCGGTGTCAGGATTATAAGTGATGGTCCAGTCATCCGTGAGACCTTGCTCGCCGAGTTGATGATCCCAAAGTTTGTCAGAGGTGATTTGGGTGTTGATAACCGACCCCTCTGTAAGGCCTGTAACAGCGTAAATTCGAAGTCGTGCTGCGAATTCCACCTGGAGGGTCGCCTTGTCGCTGGACAGTCGATGATATTGATTAAACGGAAACAGAACGACCAAGGTGTGTGGAAACTCACGGGACATCCAAGTACAGGAGAGGCTCTATGATCTGGTTGATGTTCTTCTGCTTCCTCAGGCCTGTGATTGTCGTCGGTTGATACGCGGTCAGTGCCAAGATTTACAGACGAGACATCCAACACACCAACGGTGATGCCCTGTAATTTTCCGGTCTGATTGATCCCGTCGAATGTGTTCGCAGGAGCGCCCTCCACCGGGGTCTGTGGAACAAAGTCAGAGGTCAGGATAAAATGAGAAACTAGAGGAAAATTGCCTGCGAGACTTACAGACCACTTGTAGCCGACTGGCTTGTCAGGGGTCAGTGCACTGATCTCCGTGAACTACATAAAATCCCTCATTAGTGCAACGACACGGAAGAAAAAGTGACGATTGTTCAGTACATCAATGTCAGTGAGAGCGCCACTAATGGTGACTTTGTCGTTCTGAATCTGGGAAGTTGCTAACATAAACCTGCAGGTGGGGTGCATTGGCAATCTGTGTGCGACGGAGATCTGGATCGAATTACATACTGTTGCTCGTAGGCTTCGGAGAACTGGTATTCGCCTGCAGGTATCATCAGCAATGAAACCTAGAGAAACGGCGCGGTGGTAGCGCTTGCCAGATTCTTGCAGGTAGGCGATCCTGTATCGCATGTAAGCTACAAAGTCCTTCTCGCTTGCAACGCCAGATACTCACCGCCACACGACAGGGTAATAGTCCTTGTACATCTCGTGGTTCTTGATTTTCTGATCGTCGAATGTGAAAATCAACCAGCCTCCCTTCCCGAGGTTTTTGCTAACGCGAATGTCAGCTTCCAAGAGTCTGGGATCACAAAGAATCATACTAGGAGAAATTGAGAGTCTTGGAGAAACCCATGGCAGAGTCTGAGTGAGTGTGATATGTGTTGGGTCCCGAGGGATGGTTGCACTCACACAGAAACCGCGCTCTTATATAGCCTTGCTTTCGGCTGTTCTACGGATTTGTCCAACTCAGCTCCAGCGGGGGTTAGTTCGCTTCGGCGACAACCAGAATGTTCCCAGAAGGTACATGGCACTCCGTGAACCGGAAAGGCGGTGGCTGCCATGGAGCCCCCTGGAGTCATCAATGCTTCGACTCCCACCAGCCTCTCACGGGAGGTGTACCTAAATGTTCAAAGTATCCAGTTCTAGCCAGCTGTCATGAGCGGCGTGAGATCGAGGGAACTAGCACTTTGATGTTTGGGATGGATTCTATACTCAATTTGATCATGGTAGCTGGCTCGACATTTCCTTGAGCTCGAAGGGTTCCTGGAATCATGATTGATGATCAATCAGATCAACGGTCAACCCACGTTTGCATTGTGCCACTTACAGACACTTTCGTCATTCCTGGAAAGCAAGTTCAAATCTGTAAATAGTGAGAAGTGATTTGGTCAACATTTTACCACTTCGGACGTCCATAATAGTAGCAGACACTGACCGCCCGGACAACCGTGTGCAGATCGGCGAACCAAAAGCGAGTTTGGGACCAGGGCAGTAAATTCAGCTCCACAGAAATGTTACAGCTACCGTGACCTGCAAAACTCTAGGCCGTTTACACCGTGGAGCAGAACAAATAACGTAAGTGATCAGGCGTAAACACTGCTCCGCACCGCGATGCAGCCCTACATACATAACGCGGAAACAACTGGATATGTACACGGACTGACAAATGAAAACATCATAGAGGAGCCATTATTGCGCCCGGCTTCGTTCTTAAAAACAAGGGATCCTTCTTACGGACGTGGAGTTTCACACGGAACGCGAGGGCTGAATCCGCTGATCGTAGATTACAGCAATAGACAGTGGAGTGAATTACACTGGCAGTTGAAGTTGAATTCCTCATTTGACGGGGAAAATAGGAGGAGTCTATTGGAATAGAACCTACACTCTAGACACGATTTTGTGCCGCCTCATCGCTCCTCTCCATATTCATTTGTCAGTCCGTGCGCATATCAGCTGTTTCCGCGTGGGGCTGGGTGTGCGGAGCGGTGTTTGCGCCTGATCGCTCACGTTATTTGTTCTGCTCCACAGTATAAACAAAAATTCGGCGTAGAGTTTTGCAGGTAGCAGCTGTCAGGAACATGTCTGTGGAGTTGAATTCACTGCCCTCAGGCTGGCTCCGGGACATAGTCAGAGCCCTGCCAGTTAGGTTTCGAGCTCCGATAGGTCCCGACCCACCTCGCGGATGGTCCGACTGCCCGAGGCTGGTCCCTAACACCACCAGACTAACTCGAAGTGTCAATGTAGTTGTGACTTTTTTTTTCGTGCCAGATCTACATGGTCTGATTTGGCAAGAAAAAAAAAATCGCAACTATACTTCTCCAAATCCCAAAAGGAAACTAACCGTCTCCTGCGACACGGAAGAAATCCAACTCCACGCAGATTGTCACCAGGGATTCTGAACGTCAGACAAGCGTACATAAAACCAAGGGGGTATCTGCCATGCGTGAACATCAAGTACCACAGGAACGCCGGCGGGTTCTCGACGGGAGTTTCACCCCAGATAACTAGGGAACGGATGGTGCGTCGCCTTGCTAAAGTTACTATGGACATCCGAATGTGACTTAGTCCTCTGCGCAGAGCTCGCGCAGCAGCCTCCAACGAAGCGTCGCAGTACCCTAGCCGGAAGGACATTGTGCTCGTAGCATCTAATCCGTCGTCATCCAGTCGTGCACTTCCTCCGCATCGTATTCCTCATGTGCACCGTACGGAAGGCTACATGTCGTAACAATATCACGGTCCTCCGAGGTGCGTGAGGAGGTACAATTCAAGTGATGTTCGCCGAAACAACCTGAATGTCTCGTAGACGTCGAATCTCCTGCAAGTTCGGCATAAACCCGACGCTCAGCTTGCCGGTTTCTTTCGCTCAACGTCCATTGTATCGGTATCGTTTTAAACGTTGTGGTCTCGCACTAGCCCTCGTGTATTGGCCTCAAGATCCTCATTCTCGCATTTACAACTTTACACCATGGCTGGAATCGATAACCTGTCGTCACTGATTTTGCTTTTTCGTGAGTCACAGGGTTCATAAAGAGCTCGATGGACAACGTACGTGGCATTCAAACCTGTCATAATGGTGCTTTGTGGATGTACTACAAGGCGGTGAGAGTCGATGTTCTGCCCGTTCTGTATGTGCTGCAGTCGCAAACGGCACTGCTAGGAGTGGGAGGTCCTGGAAGACGGTACACCTGTGGTGGTGCTCGACGAACATCTCAATTGACTCGTACACCTCGCTTTCGAACCATGATACTATACAAAAATCACAACCATTCAATGCTTACCAACATCGTCCTTCACGCACAACCTCAAAATAAGACTTACGCCCACAAGCCGCCGACATGAGCAGGGTATCTCAGCCCCTTCACGTCAGCCTTGTCGATAACCCCATTGATTTCCTCCAGTTCCACCTTTGAAAATTCGATATCCCCGCCTGCGCAGTTCTCGAGCGTGCGCTTGGCATGCCTACGAGAACGCAATTAGAGTCATCAGACGCACGACGAGTTAATCGCATGGAGATGCGCACGAGGAGCCTGGGATAGGAATGACGTGCGGACCGAGCGAGCTGACCCACGCGATGCACAGCTGTGCAGGGGTCACGTTATGTTTCTTCGCGACCTCGGTCAAGGCATCGACAATGGCAAAGTTGTACTTCATGGACTGACAACAAAAGGTAAGTTTCAAAAGCGCACCATGTTCCATAATGCACCGTACATCTTCTTGGAACCGAGGAAGTTGGCGGCGGAAATCGCCCACTGCACGACGAGTCATTTTCCCTTCATGCATTGAGCTTTCA